GCGGGCGGGTCTCGAACCCGCAGGCTCAGGCAATTCACTCACCTCAGCCTCCCAAAGTGCTGGGATTACAGGCTGAGCCACCAAGTCCGGCTCAATTTTTTGATTTATTGTAGAGATGAGGTCTTGCCAAGTTGCCCAGGGGGGTCTCGAACCCGCAGGCTCGGGCAATCCACTCACCTCGGCCTCCCAAAGAGTGGGATTACAGGCTGAGCCACTGAGCCCAGCCTCGAGCAATTTCATTTGTTCATTTCCTTGTTTCTATAGGTTGTTCATTGAAATGAATCCGCAAGCGACATTTCAGATTGTCAGCTATCAACACATGCGTTTTAGGATGTCCTCTTTCTCAGGCTGTGGGAGATGGGGAGCTAAAAAGCGAGCCATTGGACGAGTGCAGTGACTCACACCTGTAATCCTAGCACTTTGGGAGGCTGAGATGGAAGGATAGCTTGAACCCAGAACTTCGAGACTAGCCCAGGCAACATAGCAAGACCTGGTCTGTATAGAAAATTAAAAAACAGGCCGGGCTCAGTGGCTCAGCCTGTAATGCCAGCGCTTTGGGAGGCCGAGGTGAGTGGATTGCCTGAGCCTGCAGGTTCAAGACCCACCTGGGCAACTTGGTGAGACCTCATCTCTACAATAAATCAAAGAAAAAATTAGCCGGGCGTGGTAGTGTGCGCCCGTAGTTCCGGCTACTTGGAAGACTGAGGCAGAAGGATTGCAGGAGCCCAGCAGGTCGAGGCTGTCGAGACTGGAAGCGTGCCACTGCTCTTCAGTCTGGGCAACAGAGTGAGATGCCAACTCAAAAAAAAGAAATTTAAAAAATTGTTAAAAAGTAACCAGGTGTGGTGGAGTGCGACTATAGTCCCCAGCTACTTAGGAGGTTGAGGTGGAAAGATTACCTGAGCCCAGGAGGTTGAGCCCAGATTGTGCCACTGCACTCCAATCTGGGCGACAGAGCAAGACCCTGACTAAATAACTAAATAAGTAAACAGATACATAAATAAAAATGGCCGGGTTCGGTGGCTCAGCCTGTAATCCTGCACCTTTGGGAGGCTGAGGTGAGTGGATTGCCTGAGCCCGCGGGTTCGAGACCCGCCT